TATCTATCTATCTATCTATCTATCTATCTATCTATCTATCTATCTATCTATCTATCTATCATCTATCTATCTATCTATTTATTTTGAGGCAGGGTTTCTCTGTGTATCAAGTCCTGGCCGTCCTGGGCTCTGTAGACCAGGCTGGCCTTAACCTCACAGAGATCTGTCTGCCTCTGCCTCCCCAGTGTTGAGATTAAAGGCATGCACCACCACACCTGGCTCTTTTCTTTACTTTAAAAGAACTGGTTGAAAGAGGTTAAAATGTAGCTCAGTGGTAGAAAGCTTCTCTAGAAAGTCTCCAGCACTGTAATAAACAATTAACTGATGAACATTGTATATTTTCAAAGTATATAACATTACACTTCATATATGCACGCACTGTGTAATGACTCCTACAGTCATGCTAACTAACGCATGCATGACTAGCCACATTGTTCAGTGACTCCTCCCATTGTAAATTATTTGTCTTTCCACTTGTAGTTTTCCTGCGACAACACTCTCTACTCTCTCCCTGAGTTCAACATTCTCCATTCTGCATTAAATTGAGCTCACGCCGTATGTGTTTTCCTGAGTCTCTGTTATTTGATTTGGCGCAATGTTCTTGAGGTTCATCACTGAAGCTCCAGCACACACAGAATGAAGAGAAGGCAGGTGCTCTCATCTCGCTTCCAGTCTTGAAAGACGCCCATCAGGTTTTCACCACTAAGTTTGATGCTTTCAGCACACGACTATACATACCTGTAATCCTAGTGCTCAGCAAGTTGATCAAAGAAGATGAGGAGTTTAAGGCCTGTCCGGGTCACATAACAGGAAACTGTCAAAGCAAAACAAAACAAAGCAAAAACAAACAAATAAATGAGAAAGATGGCTATTGTATGTTTCCTGGGGAAGTCTTTTTATCAGGTTTATAATGTTCTATTCCTAGTCCCTTCACCTTCAGTGCTAAAGATTGAACTTATAGATTATCCCTAATTAAATGTTTCTTTCTTTTCTGTTTTTTTTAAATATTTTAAAAAATTTATTAGTTATGCATACAGTCTTCTGCCTGCATGTGTGCCTGCATGCCAGAAGAGGGAACCAGGTCTCACTGTAGATGGTTGTGGGCCACCATGTGGTTGCTGGGAATTGAACTTAGGACCTCTGGAAGAGCAGCCAGTGCTCTTAATGGCTGAGCCATGTCTCCAGCCCCTTAAAGTTCCTTTTTTTTTTTTTTTTTCATTTTGATATTTATTATGTATACACTGTTCTGCCTGCATGCCAGAAGAGGGCACCAGATCTCATTATAGGTGGTTGTGAGCCACCATGTGATTGCCAGGAATTGAACTCAAGACCTCTGGAAGAGTAACCACTGCTCTTAACCTCTGAGCCTCATCTCCAGCCCCTCTTTGTTTTCTTTAAAAATATATTTGACTTTTAAATTTATGTTTATATTCACAGACACATGTGTGTGCATGTATTGCACTCACACACACACGTAGGTGGCCATGGAGGCCAAAAGAGTGTGTTAGATCCCCTAAAGCTACAGTTCCTGGGAGTTATAGGTCGGTGTTTGCTGCCCAGGATGGCTGTAGGGAACTGAATTCTGGTCCTCTGCAATAGCTGTATACCCTCTTTTTTTTTTTTTTTTAAACTTTTATTAGTTACACTTTATTTACTTTGTATCCCCCCATAAACCCCTCCCTCTTCCCCTCCTAATCCCACCTTCTCTCCCCCTTCTTCACGCATGCCCCTCCCCAAGTCCACTGATAGGGGAGGTCCCCCTCTCCTTCCTTCTGATCTTAGTCTATCAAATCTCATCAGGAGTGGCTGCATTGTCTTCCTCTGTGGCCTGGTAAGACTGCTCCCCCCTCAGGGGGAGGTGATCAAAGAGCAGGCCAATCAGTTTATGTCAGAGGCAGTCCCCCTTCCCATTACTATGGAACCCACTTGGACACTGAACTGACATGGGCTACATCTGTGCAGGGGTTCTAGGTTATCTCCATGCATGGTACTTGGTTGGAGTATGAGTCTCTGGAAAGACCCCTGTGTTCAAATTTTCTGGTTCTGTTGCTCTCCTTGTGGAGTTCCTGTCCTCTCCAGATCTTACTAGTTCCCTCTTCTTTCATAAGATTCCATGCACTCTGCCCAACAGTTGGCCATAAGTCTCAGCTCTGCTTTGATAGTCTGCAGGGCAGAGCCTTTCAGAGGCCCTCTGTGGCAGGTTCCTAACTTGTTTCCTGTTTTCTTCTTCTTCTGATGTCCATCCTCTTTGCTTTTTGGGATGGGGATTGAGCATTTTAGTCAGAGTCCTCCCTCTTGATCAGTTTCTTTCGATGTACAGATTTTAGTGGTTTATCCTATATTATATGTCTATATGAGTGAGTATATACCGTGTGTGTCTTTTTGTTTCTGGGACAGCTCACTTAGGACGATCCTTTCCAGTTCCCACCATTTACCGGGAAATTTCATGATTTTCTTGTTTTTCATTACTGAGTAATATTCCATTGCTGGATACCCTCTTAATTGCCGAGCCATACCTCCTCCTGAACCTCCATTTTAACCATAAATGGCTACTGGATTTTATTAAATGCTTTTTTTTGGCCTATTAAAAGAAGCATGTAGTCTTTGCCTTCATCTGTAGTGCAGAACGCTAGTTTTGATTCTTAAATAGACCAACTTTGCATTCTTGGGATCGACTCATGTGCAGTTTACCTGCTTATGTTATTTGTGGAGGGTTCTTGGTCTGCAGTTTTCATTTTTATAAAGTCTATGACTTCAGTGTCAAAGTGTCTTCTTTACTTTTCTAATGCTGTGACAGAACACCATGACCAAGGCACCTTACAAAAGAGAATGTCATATTTGGGACTTACGGTTCCAGAGACTTAGAGCACATGGCCACCATGGTGGGGAGCACAGCAGCAGGTGGGTTTAGTGCTGGGGCAGTTGCTGAGAGCCTACATTTTGATCCACAAGCATGAAGCACACACACACACACACAGAGAGAGAGAGAGAGAGAGAGAGAGAGAGAGACAGAGACAGAGAGAGAGAGACAGAGACAGACAGACACACACATATACAGAGAGAGACAGAGAGAGAGAGAGAGAGAGAGGAGAGTACACAAGGCAATCCTGGACTCACAGAGCGCTGGACCATGGCGGGACAGCATATCTTCTTCCAAGGCTGCTGCCGTCCCCATCACTCTGAGGAGGATTGTTATATTTTTTTGGTGCCGTCTATAATTGTTATACTATTTTGGTACTGTCTGTTTGAGTAGTCTCTCAATATTGTCTCTTTGCGTTTCAACAGGTTGGGGGCATACCCAAGTCAGGTGGCTTCCTTATTCTTGGGTTTTCCTGAAGCTCTGGCTATCTGCAATCACTGCCTATCCCCACCAGGGGGACATCCATTCCTGAGCCTTGACCACAGTTGCCTCTCTGAGGGTGATGTGCCCACTTATCTGGGGTTAGGTGGGAGCAGCTCAATCAAGGTGCAGCTCTTTCTTGGAGTGACAACTGCTCTTTCCTGAAGTCCCAAAAGAAGGGGGTGGGGCCAAGATCCGTTGCAGAGCCTTGTGTTTTATGGTCTTCTCTCTATCCTAGGGAATCTGATCCTGGGTCAGTTCTGGGGACACTCAGATGTGGGGGCATTGTGGCTCGCAGTCTGAGGCTCAGCCCTCTAGGGCGCTGAGGGGCAGCATTTGAAGGCACCGAGCCCAGGACCTACCTATGCAGACGTCCACTTTCATAACCACAGGGAACACAGGAGCTGGTGGTGCTGTGGTGGGAGGGCTGGTACTAAGGAGGGCGGGTCATGGTAGCACTGGCAGGTGGGAGACCAAGAGTCTCCTGGGGGTTCGGTGTGTGTTCCCTGCTCAGGTTAAATGGTGGGGCAGGGTGGCTTATGGCCCAGTGATTGCTGGCCCCTGACCTCTGATCAGACACACCCACCCAGGGGAGATAAAACCCTAAGCAGCCTGGTTTGGAGGAAGACGACCAGGCACCTGGACACTGGGATCTGCAGCTTCCCCACTCGCCTAGAGCTCCTCAGCACTGAGAGGGAACCCCAGTCATGAAGAGGTGATGCCATGGCCTCTGGGCCCTAATTTTTCTATCCAGAAAAGCTGGTAGCTGGGCGTTGATCCGGGTGGGTCTGGTTGTGTGATTAGGGTTACAGTGGACCCCAGTCTAGGAGCTCTGGCTTAGATATAGGCCTTGGTTGTTGCCCTGTCTCCACAGGAAGCCTAATTCCAGGGGATGGTCTTAGGGGAAGAGAGGAAAGACAGGAGGGAGGGAAAAAGGGTGGGAGGAAGGGAGGAGGGAGGGAGAGAGGGAGGGAGGGAAAGACCCCTTTTCTGCAGAACACTCACCCTCAGGTCTGCAGTTCAAGGTTTACTCCTAAAAGCACCCCAAATGGCCTCCAGATATATGTGAGGGTGAGTTGTCCCATGGTATCCCTGAGCTAGTGGAGCTTTAGATCCTAAATACACCCTGGGAAAAGGCAACATTCCAGTCCGTGATGGTCCTCCCAAAAGGGGTCAGTGGCAGGGGGGTGGGCAAGAAAATATGTAGAGGACTAGCAGGGTAGAGACAGTGCAGGGACCAGGGAGCCTAAGAGCTGGTCATCCAGGAGCAAGGGTTTGATTCTCAGGGATGTCTAGGGTCCCTGCAGGACTGAATCATCATGGAGGCATGGTCAGGGGGAGAGAGAGAGAGTACAAAGGCTAGGATGCTAGGATGAGGGTCTCCATGTTCATTTCTATGCCCAGTATAAGAATAGGCCTTTGTCTGGTGGTCCTGAGGTGAGGCAGGGTTATTCAACCCTACATGGCTAGATCCCCACCTGCTGTCCTTTGACCCCTATCACAAATTGTGAGTCACAGAGAGGAGAGGTTTCTTTGAGTGTACACACTCGCACACACACGCACACACATGCATGCACTCCATATACCACAAACACATGCGTACTTCTCATACACATGCACACCTCTCTACAACCACATGTTCAAAAACACCTGGAATTCCTTCTGTCTGCACGACGAGGCTGGGCCTACTGGCCACCTGAGAGCCTACTAAAAGTTACTCCCAATACCATGAGACCTGGCCTCAGGGGTACTGTGGCACGGCATTGCGATAGGGCCTCCATCCATCCTGTCAGTGTTTTCATGCATATGTGCGTGCATGCAGGCCCATATGTGTGTCCTCGTGTAGCCTGTGGAATCCTCAGCACCGACTGCCAGTGTCCTGACAGGATACTATCTGCCTAGGGCATGAGGTGTCTTGGCCACAGGTGGAGAGCTTGGCATCAAGACATGGAGCGGGAGTGTGCTGAGCACCTTGCTTGCTTATCCTGCCTGCAGGTCCTTTCCTGTGAGATCAGAGTCAAGCTCTTCCAATGGATCAGCAGGGACCTACCTTGGTCTCTCTGTCCAAGACACAGGTCCCAAGCCCCAGTAGATTTTGACTGAAGCATCAGTTGCTGAGGTGACCCCTCAACCACCTCATATTCTCTCTCCGGACCCCTAGGTTTCTCCTGGCCACCTGTCTGGTAGCTGTGCTGCTGGAGGCATGTGCAATTCCAGCACTCCAGGTATGCAGGGGCCCCTCTGCCTGGCCCCAGCCCAGGGTGCCAACCTCTGCCCCGGTTAGTAAGGCAAAGTGGAGAGGGTCCCTTTCTCCCCACCCCCGATCTGGCCAATGAGAAGGGAGGCCAGGCAGAGGCTGTGTGGAGAATGTGGTGGCAGCACTATGTGAGCAGAGGAGGGGCCTCTGGAGGAGGAGGGTCTGAGTCCTTCTGCAGTCTAGTGGGCAAACCTCCATGGCACTAAGGTTACCAGGTGAGGATTTGGGCTTCCACAACATCCAGGTGACCTGAAGGACATGGGTCTCCATCACATCCATGTTACCCTGTGGGAATGTGAGCCTCCATGACACCCAGGTGACCCTAGGAGGGAGAAACCTGGTCCTCTATGGCACCCATTTTACCAGTGAGGACATGGGTCTCCATGATACTAAGGTGATGCCAGGATGAAGGAATATGGTTCCCCATGGTGATCCATAATGGGATGACATGGGCTTCATGACACAGGTAATTACAGGTGGGGTCATGGATGTTCAAAACACCTAAGAAGACCCCGAGTAAGATGGGTCTTCTTCATGCTTACCTGGGCATACTTAGGGCATGGTCTATAGACTAGTAACTGTGGCCCTGGCTGGAAATGCGCTGAGCTTCCCCTGGGCAAAGTCCGCTCAGTCTGCACACGTGGCAGCAAAAGAGGATGACGGAGGTCCACTCTCCACAGCCACCCACAGCTTCTTGGAGCATGGCACTCGCAGCAGGGTCATCCTTTGCCTCACTTCCTCCTTAGTACTTTGTCTCATTAAGGTCTTGAGTTCAGAGCAGCCGACTATCTTCTGGGCCACTAGCCAGGATGGGGAGGGGCAAGCACACCCTTAATTGGTGCAAAAAAAAAAAAAAAAAACAACTGGGGTGCAATGAGGGTACAGAGTCCAAAGTGAGCCCCAGGGACCTGCTGAAAAGCTCTACTTTGTCCTAAGCTGGCCACCAGGTGTTCAGGAAGAAGGCTGGCCATTTGAGAATAGGCTGGTGTCCTAACTCCTCTACCTGTAATTCTGATAACCATGGTGACCCTTATCCCCTAGACTTAAATGCACGTTGAGCTGAAGTTCTGCCTATATGAGGGCCTTAAAGTGGCCTCTCCTTGGGTGTCTTCCAACCTTGGGCCATTAACTAGCAAACTCTCCCCCCGTGATTCACTTTCCTAGGTTCCTGTCAAGACCAAAGGCAAACATGTGATCCCTGAACAGGAGACAGAGAAGTAGGTGCCCCGGAAGGCAAGTGTGGGCTGGTACGCTGGAGGGATGGAGAACATGGCTGTTCAGAAGCTTCTAGGAGGAAGTGATACTCAGATCCCATGGGGATCCCTCCTTGGGAATATCCCTCCCAGGAGCAGGCACCAGGGACCCCTGGCCATCTCCCAGACTCAGTTCTGCCTGCAGCTTCAAAGGACCATGCTTTAGAACAGTATATTACTTTTCCTGCCCTTGATGACCCTGCCCAGGGAAGGCTCTGACCTTCTTAGACTCCACCCGTGCACCCAGTATTTTAGAGATGCTAGGGGCACAAAGCCATGGACTTGTCCCAGGCTTTGGAATGAGTATGGAGCAGCTTCCCAGGGCCAGCAGCTGCCTGGAGGCTGAGAATGTCTTCTACAGTGGGGCTGGTCCTGTCTAACTTTCTCTACCTGTGTGTGATCCTTACCCTACTCACACTGGCAGGGCCTGGGGTAGCAGAGCCATGGAGCCCCTGGAGAAGGACAACCAGCTGGGGGCATTGTTCCCTATACCCAAGCAGAAGCTTGCAGCTGCTGAGGAAAAGCGCCCAGGTCAGAGTGAGACCAAGCCACGTAATGGTTTCCATTTGGACAGAAGGCTAGTGGGGATGATCTTGAGAGGGAGACTGAGGCCACACCTACTTTTGCCTCTCCCCAGATGCCATGACCTGGGTGGAGACTGAAGACATTCTGAGCCGTTTTCGGAACCCTCAGGATGGTCCAGAACCGGATCTTGACCACCTGTACCACCCCAGATCTGAGGAGGCCCAGAATGAGGATGTGCCCCAGACGTGGCCCGTGCTGTATCGTCAGGTGCTCCAGGGACCAGAGGAGGACCTTGACCACCTCTCTCACTCTATGTAGGACTCTGGAGAGCCCTAACCACTCTCCCATGCCTGTCCTGAGGTCCAGGCTGTTGTGACCACTGACTCCCCAGCTAGAAAAAAATAAACACCTGCAAACTGGATCTGTAAGAGCAAGAATCATCGAACATAGCAGCTGTGTCTAGGAGGGAGAAAGATGATTGTCCTATGGTTCATCAAAAGCTTCCTATGGGGTAGAGGGTCTGGCTGACCTTCATGGATAGTTCTCCTTGGGCCTATCTCTTTACTAATGATCTGTGTGTCAGCAGTCTGTGGGAACCAGTGAGCAGCCTCACCCTCAGCCAGCCAATGAAAACTCTTCTGGAATTTCCACAGAGGAGTCTGAGAAAGGAAATGCTTGAGGAATGGGTGGGAGGTTGGGTGGGACTCAGGTTCATGAATGTGTAGGTACACGAGCACATGGCTTCACAGATGTTTGGGTGCACACATGCATAGCTAAATGTACAGAGCCAGGAGCCTCTGTGGGTATTTTCTCCTAAAGGACACAATTGGGGCTGGAGAGAGGGCTTAGAAGTTGCCGCATCATAGGAACTGTCTACTCATCTACTGGACTCACATTTGTTTGCAGCTTTGGGCCAGTACAGACAAAAGCAGCTATGAACATTCATTCACCAATAGTCTGCAGCCAAGAGCTAGAGACTCAGTCTAAGCACACAGTAAGGAAACTGTTTCTGGCTCTCTTGGGTCCTTCCTCTTGCTATTTATAAATCTTGCTATTTATCTGCCTGCACTGAGCCCCCGTTGACCTTTTACCTCCTGGGACGACTGAAGATTCAAAGCTGGGAGCAGCCAGGTTGCATCTGAGTTCCTGGGCTTAAGATAACACTGCTCATGCATAAGTAGTAGGTGCTCAACCTTCAAAACATAGGCACAGGATCCAAGACACAGCAAGGCCTCTCTGACCTTGAACCATCAAGGTCAGCACTACTCTTCCTTGCAGCTGGGCAGTCATTTCTGAGTGTCAGTGTCCTTTCATCTGAAGTGTCCAGTCCAGCTCTGTCACCTGCCCTCTGGCTTAGAGCTCAGAGATTGGCCCTAGTTAATAGTTACTATGTGCTGCAGACACTCTCACCCCACACAAGCACCCAGTGCAACCAGCTCCAGGCCCCTGCTGTGCACCCTACCCAGCACCAACTACTAGCCTAGCCCTTTGCCTAGGCCCAGGCTGGAGCCAGACTCAATCTAGCTCCCAGGTTCCTACCCAGGTCTAGCTTCTGTCCAGCTCCTGGCCCTCCCAGCCCCATGCTTCATTTTCCCATGTGGATTTTCTACCAGAGGATTCACCAAGGATGCGTAGGAGCTGCTTGTTTGGGAGCTAATGCCCTTCCTGGAAATTATCACAAGACAAGTTTATGAGTACAAAACCTTTAGATGAAAGATTGACAATGACTGTTCTTCCTCCCTCATCAATTTTACAGATCAGAAGGGGAATCTCTTTCAGGGTCAGCAGTCTCTCAAGATCTGCCATCTTCTTGAACCCAGAGCTGGTGTCCAGGTCTGGGTGCTGCCAAGAGAAGTCCTGCTGATTGGGTTCAGGCATAGCCAATTCTCAGCCTGGTGTGGTCTCTATGAGGGTCCGAGATCAAGGGTTCCCTTCTTAAGGATGATGTTTCCATAGAGTGCTGTCTCCCTGCAGGAGGATCAGGGTGCTGAGACTCCAACTTTGCCTTAAGAGGAAGCAGATCCCTTTCTGCTTCTATCCCTCCTACTCATCAATGTCCAGGGACTCGGCTACCCAAATCCCTCTTGTCCTCTTCCTGGGCAAAGCAGAGGTGGAGGCAGTTCCCAGGGACCTGGGTAAATCATCTGGATGCAGCAGAAACTCACCCAGTTGCAACAACAGCAAATGCCTTTTTTGCACGTTCATAGAATTCAAATCTCTCTATTTTCATCAGGGCTGTCTAGAAGACAAAATCGCATGGTTGGAGGGACCTTGCCTAAAAATCCTCTTGGTAGACTCCTACCTCCTGGTGTCCCTACCAGGAGATAGCCAGGAGGCACCAGCAATGAAACCCTAGTCTTCTAGGCTCCATTCCTCTAGTTCCCCTAATGCTGGGGTCTCAGGGAACTGGAGACAAGGGGCATCTTTCATATCTCTGTTTGAGCTTGTGATGGACAAGGTGCCTGCTGGGCACGGACTCAGCTCAGCAAGCCTCTAGACCAGTGATTCCCAACCTAAGGCTGTGATACTTTAATACAGTTCCTCATGTTGAGGTGACCTCCAACCACAATATTATTTCCATTACTATTTCATAACTGTAATTTTGCTATTGCTATGAATTGTAAATATATGTATTTTTGGGTGGGGTTTTAGGGGTCACGACCCACAGGTTGAGAACCACTGTTCTAGACCCTCTAAACTGCCCTGAAAGTCTCTTGCCCAGACAAGAGTCCTCAAGTAGGTCTTTTTCAGGCCTAATGGCTGGAGAATGAGTGTGTCCTCTGCCAGGCGGGGATGTGGGCTTTGTGACATGCAAACCTTAGCAAGAACAAAGTGGCAAAGAGCAAGACCTGAGGTGAAGGTGCACATTCACAGAAGGTCAGAAGGGACCCCATCATGAAGCCCACAATCCTCTGGCCCACATGGGACCAACTCCCAAGATCAGAATATAGGAGGTGGACGAGGAGGAGGAGGCTTGGGCAGAGGGGGAGGTGGCCACAGAGCTCAGATACACCCTTTCCCTCTCCACTCCCGTGATTCACTCTTCCAGAGCCACCAGAAGACAGAGGGCTACACTCACCTTGCAGCCAGCATTGAGCAGAAGGGATTCATAATGGTTCCATACTGGGGTCCGCAAGCCCCTCTCCTTGTCACTGGGCACCAGGTCCATGACAGCAGCCTGAAAAGACAGGGGTCAGCTCTGTGGCCTTAGGTACCTCCAGGGCTCCTCTGAGGAAGGGGACCCTTTGGGGACATCTGGCCATATGAAGTCTAGCCAGCGGAGACGGAGACCCAGATCAGCAGCACAGCCTTCGGTGCTCACCGGGCTTTCCACATAGGTGTCCAGGGGCAGCAGCTTCAGCACAGCCTCCAGGAGCACTGGAATGTCCAGGCCTAGAAGGACAGAGTCAGGCTCAGGCTTCTGCATCTGTCTCCAACTTTCATTTTGGGACCAGAGCCAACAGGAATAGGGGGCCAGGACAGAGAGGTCACAGAACCAGGACCGTTACCGCCCCAGCCATACGGAGCTCACCATCTGCTCTGATCTCTACAGGACCGCACTGGCAGATGGAGGAGGTAGGGAAGTTTGCATCTGCAAGAACTGAAAGGAGACAAGGGGGAAGGCTGGCTCTAATCAGCTCAGTTCTACCTCCTGTCACTCATATAGTCCCACATATTCCAAAGCCACGCATCCCTGTGGTCAGCACAGCCCACCCTCGGGATGTCCACCTGCCAGGCCAGTATGTCCCTCCCATTCCAATTAGTGGGGACAGATCGTGGGTTACCCCAGTATCCCCTATAGAGGAGAAGGAAAAAAGAAACTATGAATGAGGCCACGAAACCAGTGTCTGGGAAGAGGAAGCAATAGTTTCACCTCAGCCTCTGGCTGTTCCAGCTTGCCCTAGGGCACCAGGCCAGGGATCTAGAAATCAGCAGACCTCGGAGCAGCCTGGGAGGCCATGTGGGAGGTCAGGGAATTATCCTGCTGCTGAACTTGGCACCTGGTTTGCCCTTCTCAGAGTTCTGTGGCCTGGGCCAATCTCAGGCCTCAGCTCAGCTCTTTCCTGAAGCAGCTGGATGGCTTCCTGCTCCGAAGGGCAAGATGTCTGCGGCAGTGTCCCCAACCTTTCCTGAACCCTGTCGGTCAAGGGCTCCATCGTGGATTGCACCCCTGCCAGCGGTCCGCGCTGCTGCCTCTGCACATGCTCACCAATCTCATCTCCGTGCCCCATCCGCGCAAGCGCGAACAGCAGCTCAGGCGACAGCACTGTCGGGATGCCCTTGAGCGCAACCATGGCCGCAGAACTGGTGGAGGGCCGGAGTTGTCAGCAGGGCGGTGCCACATGGGTTGGGGCGGAGCCAGAGGAGAGGCGTGTCCAATAGACGTAGCTAGCTGTGTTAGGCTCTTGGCTCTGGGGTAACACACAGACTCTGAGGCAAGGCAGATTGTGGGAAAGTTCAGAAGGTTAAGTCCCAGTGGGAAGGACAAAAACGCCAGAGAAGCACCTGCTAAAACAGCTCAGGCACGGTCTTGATCCTAGGAACTCTGGTGTCCCAGTCCAGATGTCCCTGGTGTGGCCACTCCTGCCCAACTTGGTGGCAGTAATGGGTGAAGGGTGAGAGGTAAAGAGAGCGCTTTCTGTTTCAGTTTGTGACTGGCTTCACGGGATTAGGGCCAGTCCAGGAGGCAAGCCAGTACAGAATAAAAAACAAATCAAAAACCCCAAATTGTATTGGAGCCAGAGATCAAACAGTTGAGAACTTTGTTGGGGCTTAGGGGAGTCCTTCTTGGGGGCATTCTGCATACATCCCATTGACTTGAACTCTCTGAAGCCAGGGTCCAGTTAGAAGCTGGTAGCTATGGTTCCTCTCTTACAGTAGACCTAGCCCTCACAGTTCTGGGTGTGCTATGCTAGGTCCGGGGTTGAACCAGAATCTCCCACAGGATATCTTAAACACTGTTCCACTTTTCAGAACCAGATGAGTGAGCTATAATAAGCTCAGTGAACACAGAAAAATTAAACCAATGAGGGGCTGGAGAGATGGCTCAGCGGACAAGAGCACTGGCTGCTCTTCCACAGGACTCGGGGTTGGTGGCTCACAACCATCTGTAACTCTAGTTCCAAAAGATCCACAGCCCTTCTCTAGTCTCCAAGGTACCAGGCACACATGTGGTGCACAGACATAAAGGCAGGGACAAACAATATACTGTTTGAGTTAGCTTGGGGGCAGGTAACCCAAGAAGATTCCTGGAGTAATGGCGATGTGCTTATCTGTGCTTAATGATCTCCAGGCATGAAGACTTGCCAATAGTGGCCAGATGAAGTTAATTTTAGGATTTTCCTAAAAAGACTCAGACATAATTCTTCAGGAAAAGACATAAATGGAATCATAATGTAGGAAGTTCCCCAAGAATGCAACATAGAGAGACTAAAACCCAAAAGTTACAGATAGAAGGACAAGGATTGTATCAATCTGATCAGCTTTGCTGGAACTGTGTCAAGCATCTGTGCTGGCTTCATGACTCTCACCACTTCCAGGGAATATGGCTGTGTCACTCACCCCTCACTGCTCCAACCCCCCAACCCCCTGTTGCTGTTTATTTGAGACAGGGTCTCACTATGTTGTAGAGGTACTTGAATTCGGAACATGGCTGCTCTGAGTGATGTGGCTGGAATGCAGATATGCTGGGTGGTGGGGGCCCACGCCTTTAATCCCAGATCTCTGAGTTTGAGGCCAGAGCAACTGGTATAGAACAAGTTTCAGCTAAAGAAAAGCTTAGAGGGCTGGAGAGATGGCTCAGAGGTTAAGAGCACTGGCTGTTCTTCCAAAAGTCCAGAGTTCAACTCCCTGCAACCACATGGTGGTTTGTAACCATCTATAATGAGGTCTGGTGCCCTCTTCTGGCCTGTAAGCACTCGTGCTGGCAGACTATAAATATAAGTAAGTATAAATAATAAATAAATCTTGAAAGAAAGAAAGAAAGGAAGGAAGGAAGAAAGCAAGCTTAGATCCAGGCATGGTATTACACACTTTTAATCCCAAATAATGAAGGTTAGGGGTTTTTTGTAGAAGGAAGCACCATGTTTGAAAGTAATGTCTAATTGAGTGGCAGAAAAAGTAATGAGCCAGAGAAAGATTTGACAGATTAGGATATGCCCAACTCTCTTGACAGCAGAGAGGAAAAGGAAGCTACTTAAGGGAGCAGCACAGAAAATGAGAGAGGAGGCAGCCTTATCAGGAGAGTTTTACAGAGCCAGAGAATGAGAGGGAGCCAGAAGATTAGAGCTAGAAAGGGTGAGCTTATTAAGCAGTAAAGTCTCAACAGCTGAAAACATTCTAGGCCTAGATTAGGTTGTATGGAGGCTAGAAGCTTCCAGGACTACGCCTAGGTTAATCAGGCAAATAAGTTACTTTTACAGTACATGGTTAAGATGGTCAAACACAAACAGACCCACATATGGTAGCATATACCATTAATTTGAACACTTGGGAGGCAGAAGTAGGCTGATCTCTGTGAGTTCAAGGTCAGCGTGCTTTGTAGAGTAAGTTTCAGGCAGCCTATCCGTAAGATGGGCTATCCATAAGAAAATAATAGCAATGGTAAAATTAAAAAAACACACTCATTGTCCAGAGACAACTATAGGTGAGTCGAAACTAAACTGAAGTAGTCACTTTTATTGAATTATGGTGCTTAGAATCAGCAGATAGGGCCGTCTCCCTCTCAGAGCCACATCCTGAGCGGTGTGCACTATAGACTGAGCAAAGGGGAGGGGCTGGCCCAAGTGTGCGCCTGCCCTTAAAGTAAAGTAAAAAAAAAAAAATCAAGACACCTTGAAAGCTTCCCAGATTTCTGATTCAGACTGTGAAAGATTGACTCCAACAACTGGTGAAGGTTGAAGGCCACACCTGAGTACCTGAGCCGCGGCTGCAGCCCTGAAACCCTTGGTAGGAACTGTGCCCTACACTACTCCCCTTTTGGACGATTTATTTGCCTCTCAATTGACAGGCTGAGTTTTCCTCTCCAGGGCGGCACAAGGCCTAGCTGCCAGCCTCAGTGGTCTTTGAAGTTGGCCTTCCTTTTCTCCACAAATGCAGCCATGCCTTCTTTCCGGTCACCCTGGAAGGAAGAGGAAGAGAGGTGAGGTTTGCATCTTCCTGTTAAGCACCTCAGCAGACTGCCTGAACCTCTAAGGTGCCCCTGCGTCCTCCTCCTTGCCTCCTCTCCCAGCTCACTGACGGGACATGATTCTGCAGTGAGCCCACCTGCGGCCCACGAAAGATGGGATTCCCCACAAATGGTGCTAAGCTTGGGAATAGGGGATTGTACACCACCCAGGAGCCATGACATGAGCACCAGTAAACCCCTGCTCACAGCCCCTGCAGAGCTGGCAGGGTCAGAGTTGGGAATCTGTCACAGAGCTGTGTGGCAGCAAGGGAACTCTGCTTTACACATGCCCCTTTCTTAGCCAGTGGACACCCTACGTGCAAAAACTTCGCTTCTTCCTCCGGGGTCCAAACCATTTAAAAAATGTGTATTTTTTTATTTTTAAGTGTTTGCGTATGGTGCGTAGGTGTGTGTGAGTGTGTTTATACGGAAGTGTGTGTGCATGTGCATATGTGTGTGTGCGCGTGCGCAGAAAAGTGCAACTGCAGCACAGAGAGCGGAAGTGTGATACGGTTCAGGAGCTGGAGTTGCAGGTGATTGTGAGCCATCTGATGTGGGCGCTGGGGCCTGAACTTGGGAATAGTAGATGCTGAGGCTTCTCCCCGGCTCCTTACGTATTTCTTTATAAAGCACTTAGCACTGGGCCAGGGGTGCAATGACTAATACGTCTAACGATCAGAAGATTCTTTAAGACACCTAGACATGATAAAAGGGGAACTGTAGCCAGCACGTTGGCATAGTCCTTTAATCTCAGCATTCGGGAGGCTGAGACTGGCAGATCTCTGTAAGTTCCAGGACAGCCTAGTCTATATAGTGAGTTCCAGGCCAGCCAGGGCTACATAATGAGACCTTGTATCAGATGGACAAACAAACAAATAAAGTAAAAATTTAAAATTAGGTGGTGGTTGGAGATGGCTCAGCAGTTAAAAACACTTGCTATTCTTGAATAGGATCTGGGTTTGGTTTCTGACACCTAAATGGTGGCTTACAACAGTCTCTAACTTCAGTTCCAAGGTATCCAGTGCCCTTTTCCCATCTCTGCATGCATCAGACAGATATTTACATACATACAGGAAAAACAGTTATGCATACAGGATAAACAATATTTAGAGATGGTTTCTCTGTGTTGCACAAGCTGATCTCAAACTCCTGAGCTCAAGTCATTCTCCTTGGACCCAGGCTCCTAAATCCTGGGATGACTGTGCCTAGCTACAAATTCCACTTTAAATATAGGAGCTGCTGCTTAGTGGTGTAATTCATAGGGCCTTTTTGAAGGAAGAAATTCCCATGAGCTTCTGCAGGGGAAACAGACTTGAATCCTAAGCAGAATACTTCGTACTCACAGTGGCAAAGGTAGAATAGAAGAGCTTCTTCTCCAGCTTATTTCCTTCTGTTAAGGTCATTTCAAAGGCTGCAAAAGAGACCCTGGGGTTACAAACTGAAGTGCCCATGCTGAGGTAGCCATGTGAGCAAACTGCTCTCCTAGGCTTCCCAAACACCTTGGGGGTGGGGGGTGGGTGTCCAGGGCTGTCAGCAGGAAAAACTGAACAAAGCACAAAGAGCAGAATCTGTCCAACTGTGAGAACCGGAGGTGGCTGGTAAAACCGGACACGGAAACACAGCAAACAATGAAAAGTAGAAGAGACCAGCTATGCATCCAGGAACACACCTGCTTGGGTCTTCTTTTCCAGTGGGGAACATTGCCTAATAGAGCACTGCTGTGGAGATCCGAGCTGCGACTACGCCTGCTGCTGTGACCTTGCCAGAACCCTGTGTGCTCCGAACTTAGATGGCTCTTCAAACGTCAACATATCTGATCATGGCCAGCAGCAAACCCGGAAGGGCTGGTGTCTCCTCTGGAGGGGGCAACGACTTTTCTGGGTCACACCTTTTGCCCCCAAGCTGACTCTACATGGGACACTGAGCAGAAACGCAGTGCCATTCCAAACACTGACATAAACTATTGTTACATTAAGACTCTGTTCCTGGGATCAGACAGATGATTCAGTGGTTAAGAGCACCTGTGCTCTTGCAGAGAACTTGGGTTTCTGTCCCAGGATCCACAGGGATCCTGGGGATACTCACAACTGTCAGTATCTCCAGTTCCAAAGGGTCCAACGTTCTCCACTGCACCATGCACACGTGTGATGTACGCAGACGCGTAGGCACACAAACACTTACACACATAAAAATAAAAAATTTAAAACAACCACGAAGTCTCCATTCAGGTCTCAGCACCCACTTAACCAGCTAGGTTTCCCACAAATCCTTGCAACTTCAGTTCTGAGAGGTCCGATGGCCCCTGCTGGTCTCTACACATGCCCACATACCTACACACATGCATAGAAATCTACAGACGTGGTGATAAATAATTATATAAATATATTACAAAAAGAAAGACTCCAAGCTGGATGTGGCGAGACATACTATCCTAGCAACTGAGGCAGGTGGACCCAGAGTTTGAGGGCAGCTTCAGTTACAGAGTGAGACCTCATATCAAAATCCAAAAAACAGGGTCGGCCAGATGGCTCAGTGCATAAAGGCCCATGTCGCCCAGCCTAACAACAGCCAGAATTCAAGCTCTGGAGCCCATATGGTGAAGGAGACAACCGTCTCCTCAAATTATTCTCTGAGTTCCATGTGCACCATGGGATACTCCCTTAATAAATTAAAATGTGAAATAAAGAAATGAGTACATTAAAGAGAAAAAGAAAAGGCTGAGGCAGCTCTGAGGAAGGCAAGTCAGACCAGCTTGTTAAGCTGAGAGACCTGACGAAGATGCTTCCTATGAGCAATGCTACTGCAGCCTCTGCTACAGCCCATTTGCATAACCGAAGCACGGGCTGAAGAGGGAACCATTCAGCCTCGGTCCCCAGAGACAGCTTTCCGACAGACCACTGACTTCAGGGGCTGTGGCTCCATTCTTGGTCTTCCCTCTGTGCCTGACACTGCATTGGGGCCTGGTATAAAGAGATACTCAGAATATCTTATCAGACCTTTGTGTTGACCCAAACCTGGAACACTATGGCAAACTGCAATCCTGAGAACTTCCCCATTACCCCATCCCATTGCCTCTTCCCAGCGGATACCTACCTGCATTCACAGATTCTTTCGCCATGGCTACTATAATTTTGGAATTGCTGGCAATTTTTTCTGCACACTGGATGGCCTCTTCAACCAATGTTTCAACGGGAAAAATCTTGCTTACGAGACCTAAAATATAAAAAGTATGAATAGCATGCAGAAACAGCATTGTCTACTTCCTCTGACACCCAGTGACACAGAGAGGGGTCCTAAGCAAGGGATGTCTGTCCCTAGCACTGGATGACTCTGTGCTTTCCACTGCCAGGTGTCGCTGAACTCTCAAGTTGCACAGGTCATGCTGTCTACAGGATCAAATGGAGCCAAAGAGCCGAGGAGCCGAGGACTATGGTCTCTGCCAAGGGCAGGGAAAGGGCTGGCCTTTAGGGGCCTTCAAAGGGCAGCGGGAAGAGATGCTGTTATTATTTCTAACCTGAACAGATGTAGCCACTCTCTTGCGCATAAACCTATTTCAAGATATATAATCCAAAGATAGAAACTTGGGGTCCCAATGCCGGTTACCTACAAGGAGATTCGATGTAGCCTGAGTTTCCCCCAGCTCACACATCAGATAACCTACCTGCTTGCTTGGCATCCTGGGCTGAAATGCGGTCACCAGTGAGAACCATCTCCATTGCTAGTGACTTGCCGACTGCACGAGTGAGTCTCTGAGTGCCCCCTGCACCTGTAGGGAGAGATTTGTGGTCTCAGCTGGCCCTTTGGGAGGTGACACTGAGAAGAAACCCAGGGCTGGGATACAGCTCAGGGCCTGAAGAAGCCTGTGGCCCTTCCTCTTAGAGTGTTCGCCTCCTCCTGCCAGGTCTAACATATGGCCCCAGGAAGGCACTGGTATTGCTTTCTCAGCACCTCTGGGCTTTTCCAGGCAGTGAGGAGTGAGAATTCCATAGTCTGTTGTGCTGAACTTAAGGAGGCCAGCTGAGCTGCTACGCCAGTGGCATAGGAGTGGACAGAGCCAGACTCACATGGCACAGAGTTGTTGGTGCAAACCCAAGGGCACTCATCTTTCTCCCAAGCTTCTGCTGTACAAAGCTCTTAAAGGTGTATGGATCATGAGCAGGAAAGAACCACTGTGGCTAAAGGCCAGTGTCAACTCTGTGTGATATTGCTGGATTTAGGATCTGTACATTCTTAAGAGCTGGCCATGGCCTGAGGCTCCCAGACTGTGCTGAGCTTCATCACTTTGTCTTTCGGGTACGGGCTGGCAGAGAGAAAGCTGAACAGACAAGGGTGGCCCATCTGGGGCCAGTGGTTGGATGCAAGCCCTGGGGCTTGTCTTGTTACAGCTTACACATTCTCACCTGGGATGGTCCCTATGAGGATCTCTGGCTGTCCAAATTGGGCTTTCTCGCCGGCATAGATGATATCACACATCATGGCAAGTTCACAACCCCCACCAAGCTGGAAAAAAAAATGTTCATAAGCAGGTAGATTTTATCAGAGGAGCCCAGGAAGAAAACCACTCTATTTGCTTAGAGAACTTTTCCAAAACCATGAAACTGAGTCAGATAACAGCAAATGTTAACCTAGCAGAACAAAACTAGATTTAAATGCTAGGATAAATATAAGGGTAGTGTTGCTTATCAAGGATTTGTAGACTTTTACGGAAAGGGCCAGGAGGTAGATATTTCTGACTTTGTGGTGAATAACTCAGCCTGGCATAGTAGCTCAAAATCAGCCACAGAGGATAAGGGCAAGAATTCCTGTGGCTGGCCACGCCTCCTTGGGAAGGATTTTATTAAATAATCAGTATATGTAATAATCACATTTCTCAATAGCCTAGTGAAGCAGGAACGTTAGCAGGCACGCAGACAGTGTACTCATAGCCTTCATACATGTAACATAGCCAGTGTAGAAATTAAACAGAAACAGAAAAGCTCTTTAATGCATCTGGGAACTAGCTAATGAGCCTCCATCAAAAAAACTACCAAAAGCCACAATCAGCCTTTTATTTTATATTTTATCTTAAGATTTATTATTATTTATATAGTAATGTACCTGCATTTATGCCTACATGCCAGAAGACGGGACCAATTCTCATTATAGATGGTTATGAGCCACCATGATATCACTGGGAATTGAACTCAGAACCTTTGGCAGAACAGTCAGTGCTCTTAACCTCTAAGACATCTCTCCAGCCCACCGTCAGCCTCTTATTTTTTATTTACTTCTTTTTTTTTTTTATTTACTTATTTATTTGGTTTTTTGAGACAGGATTTCTCTGCGTAGCCTTGGCTGTCCTAAACTCGTTTTTGTAGACCACGCTGGCCTCGAACTCACAGGGATCTGGGATTACCGGCATGTGCTACCAAGCCCAACTCCACCATCAGCCTTTTAAAGACACAGATCTTTGCTATATTTTATTTGCACAAACACGGTTCCCTCCACTCGCACAGGAGACCTCTTGGGCTGACGCTTACAGCATAGCCATTGACAGCTGCGATAACCGGCTTCTTGATCCGGGTGATGTGGTCCCAATGGCTCAGGAACTTGGCAGAGTAACAGTCCTGGAATGTCTGGTTCTGCATTTCCTTGATGTCAGCTCCAGCTAGAGGTAGAAGTGAGGTTTCAATTACCAGACATCAGAGAACTTCTCAGTCCTGTATCCTTGCACCCGGGGCCTGGGAGCATTTCCTACAACAGTGAAAACAGCTGATACAAGGACCAACAACTCTCCAAGCTGTCTGTTATAAGAAGGTAATGTTGGGGCCTGTGGCTGGCAAGGATGACGAATACAGTCCGAGGAGGACGGGTTTATGCCAGTTATTTCACCTGACCCGGAAGGAACTGAGCATATCTGAACGTTCAACACACACCCTGCTCTTCCACACAACTTACCTTACATGTTAGTGTATCCTAAACCAGCCATCCCACCTCAGAGAAAATGGTTCATTTTGCTGCTTCCCACAGGCCATAGCATCCATCCCCCTGCCATCTACTACCATGGCCAAACAGCACACCTGCGAATGCCTTCTCTCCACCAGTGAGCACAATGGCCCCCACAGCAGGATCTTCCTCAAAGGTCTCCAGGGCTTGGTTGAGTTCCTCGATCAGGCCATTGCAAAGTGCATTGAGGGCTTTGGGGCGGTTCAGCTGGATCAGCCCCACATTGCTATTCTTCCCTTTCTTTTCTGTGATGATGTACTGAAAGTTGGCACCTAGGTCAATAGGACAAAAGGGGATTGTCATCATAGAGATAGTAAAGGCTCTGTGGTGCTAATTTTGGTTATCAACTTGATCACATCTGGAATCAACTAAAACCCAAGCAGCTGGCCTCACCTGTGGAGGATTTTCTTAAATGGATCTTTTGAGGTACAATGACCCAATCCTAAGTCTGGGCCACACCTTCTGGTGGCAGCCCACTTAAAAGAAGGAAGAAAGGAGGAAAGCCTTTTGCTTTCTGCCTTCTTGCCCTCACTCTGGATGGCAAGTTTCTCTCTCTCTCTCTCTCTCTCTCTCTCTCTCTCTCTCTCTCTTCAAGATAGGGTTTCTCTGGCTGTCCTGGATCTCACTCTGTAGACCAGGCTGGCCGCAGACTCAGTGATCTGCCTGCCTCTGCCTCCAGAGTGCTGGGATCAAAGGTGTGCATCACCCCCTCCTGGCATCTAATCTAGCCTTGAGACACTCCTTTGGTTTTGAACCTATTTCTTTGGGATTCCAATACACACTGAAACACTCAGCTCTCTAGCAATTCTCTCAGCTCCAAAACCGGATTGGGACTGCTGAGACACCCAGTCTCTTGGACTGAACGCCTGAGTTCTTGCCCTTTATACCAGGAGACATCCACTGTTGCACTGCTCAGACCACAGCCTGTGAGCTACTCTAATACCCCTATTTAATATAATACACATATATATGCATACTATATATTAACAAATACAACATATATTCATTCTATCAGTTCTGTACAGAAACAGGTAGAGCCAGGGAACTCTGTACCATTCTTACTGCTTCAGCCTGCAGCTCTGTCTATGATCTACCCAGGCACGGTACCCAGGCATGGTCTTTAATCTTAGCACTCAGGAGTGGGATGCAGCTGTATCTTTGTGAGTTCCAGGCTAGCCTGGTGTAGTTACAGGCCGGGCAGAGCTACATAGTAAGGTACCGTCTCAACAAACAAACAAAAACAACAAAAGAGAAAAGTCTAGCACAGGACACGGTCATCCTCCTCCCAGATGGCAACACTTTCCAGACCATGACACCAGGTGAGAGCAGGACAGACCCCAGGCCCTGCTGGAGCAGTAAGCCTGGTGGGACAGAGGCAGATGTAAACCCTCTGTAAAGTTTGTTCTGGGTGACCTGAAAGTGAGGGTCTGTGTTCTGCTCCTTAGCACAGTGCTTAGCTTGTGGACTGGGGGTGACTAACTTAAGTGTGAGGTGCACTACTAAACAGTAGGATACCTGTCATTCAGGGGAGCCAGGACATGACAGCCAATCCAGGTCTGGATTCAGGAGGAGCCCTAACCTTAGAGCATGGTCATGAATTCCTTGTAACAATGGAGCACTAGCTGGCTGCAAGGGAGTCCAGCCAAGGAGGGAAAAGGGAATGACTATTCAGCTGGCTAGGGAGCAAAGTGGGTGTGTCATTATGGGCTGCGCTGATTGGACAAGTTGAAGGACAGGCTCAGAAGAGGCAGTGAAGATAGGAGAGACTGGTCAGGAGGCCCTGTTCACAAACCTTTCCCAATCAACACTCAGGCTGTCTTGCTTGGCCTACCTTCACATTCTCTTAAAGCTACCTAACCACACACGGGGTTTCACAACCAAAGTGCACGTTAGCCAAAGGTCCCGGCACTTATCAAAAGTTCTAGAGCTGAGAAGCTGCCATTACACCCAGGGCCCTCCCATCAGACAGGGTTTCTAGGTGCTAGGATATGTCTGGGCTTGTAAGGTGAGATAAGGTCAGATTGGGGGCGGGTGTAAGGAATTGGGTAGGGGTCAGGCCAGCGGTGGACGCGCGGGAGGGGGTCCGAAGGAGGAACACGGTGGGAGGAACTTTAAGCTAGGGTCAGTGGTCACTTGAAGGGAATCTGGGTTTAGGTGTGGGGATGAGTACTCGAATCCAGGGTCCATGTACTTCTGAGCCAAGCATTGGGAGTGCAAGCTTGTGGAAGTGGGGGTCAGATAAATGATCTGGAGTTAGGACAGAAAGTCCAGGATCACGTGAGAGTGCCTGCAGACCGGGGTTTAAGGACCAGCTGGAGGTTGTGAGTCCACCCAGCGCGGGAGGATGGATCCTGCTGGTGTTCGCACTCACCCGAGGCGAAGCGCCGGAATTCTGGGCAGCGGACGGAAGACAACAGCGAGCTGCAGGCTCGGGGAACCAGTGCACGCAGAGCCGCCATGGCGAAGACGACTTGCTCCGCCCACAGAATCGCCCCTCCTGCAGAATCGCTCCGCCCCAGATCCCAGGCTAGACGCACGCGGAAGCAAGAGGGACGGTCTAGTGACCTGGGCGGGGTAATGCAGTGGGCGGGGTGGTGCAGGATGGCGAAAAGGGTCGGAGGTGCTCGGCTGTAGTACTTTGAGTAAACTGCTAAACACACCACGTTGGTGGTTTGCCCTTGGCAGGTGCCCAATGCCTGAACCAGGCTGGGAGATGCAGCTCTGCCTTTTGCCCGGTGCTGGCCGTGTGCGGTTGGTCTTGACCACTGGAAAGTGCGATTGCAGCTATAGCCTTCCAGGGTAAAACAGTGAAGTGCCAGGCAGTTTTGTGCCAGAGTCTTACTGCAAAGCTCTGGCTGGCCTGGAACTCTCCATGAGGGCCAGGCTGTCTCCTGGTCTCACAGAGATCGGCTGCCTCTGCCTTCCAAGTGCTGGGATTAAAGGTATGAGCCACCATACCCTGCTTGAGAGGCATTCCTTACCTGGCAACTGACTAGCTTCATAACACCAGGTTAGGGATAGCTGTGTTTTTACAAGATGAGAAGATTCGCATACATTTAAAAGAAAGCTGATGTTCATGCAAATTATCTTGAATTATAACTTTAATATGTCAAGCAAATATTATAAGACCTTTATCTGTATTCTTGCCCTGGTCCTGCAAAAGCTAGGACAGAGATAAAGAATAGAAGCTACATACAAAAGCAAAACTGATAATTTAGAAAAGAATTTAAAGGGCTGGAGAGATGGCTCAGCAGTTAAGATCGCTGTCTGCTTTTCCAGAAGTCCTGAGTTCAATTCCCAGCAAAAACATGATGTCTCACAATAATGGGATTTGATGCTCTCTTCTGTCAGGCAGGCATCATACAAATAGAGTGTTCATGTGTATAAATAATGAATCTTAAAAAAGAAAACAATTTAAACTAGAATTGAGCAGTCAACTAACTTTATTTCAAAACTAAGGTAGAATATAAACACAAAGAGATCATCAACAAACATTTGCTGAGAGTCTCTGTATGAGCATAGGCTAAGCTACCATGACAGTAGTTCCAAAATGAAATATCTTAAACACAGTTTATCTAGCACCCAGGGCTGGTGTTGAGATTAGGTGGCTACTGTTCTCTGAGGTTAGGGCAAAGGAAGAAACAACTACAGAGTGAGAATATTATATTTGTCAGGGTTTTCTAGAGGAATAGGATGGAAAGAATGAATATGTATATATAAATACGTGTGTGCATATATACATAAGTATTATGTATATATGTACACACATACACACATGTGATTAGAGTGGCATACAGGCTGTGGTCCAGTTAGTCCAATAGTGGCTGTCTCTTGATGGAAATAGTTGTTCAGTCCACCAGGCTGGAAGGCTGAGCTGGTCTTCAACATAGTTGGAATCCAGAAGAAATAGGCTCTAATGAGGGAAACATCAGAAGCAGGATATACAAACTGGCCAGTGAGAGTGCGGGTGAGCAGGAAAAAAGCAAATGCTTCTTTCTTCTTTTCTTCTATATCCCTTATACAGGGTGCATGAGAGGCTCAGATTTAGGGTGGTCTTCCTACCTCAAATGATTCAATCAAGAAAAATCCCTCATAGATGTGCCCTGTTGTTAAAAGAAGAAGAAGAAGAAGAAGAAGAAGAAGAAGAAGAAGAAGAAGAA